GCACAACTGAGCACAGATACATTTTGGTGTATGAAATACATTTTTGGAGAGAAGTATTGTAACCTTGGAAAGCCACTCAAACAAATGTAAGTTTTTTGTAATGTTTTAACACATTAGGATTCATATCCAAATTAATAAAAAAATGTTTCAACTGTTTCATCTATGTCACAGAGAAATTACCGTTGTCTTGAGATTTGAAAAAATAATTCACCAAAATGCAAAATTTTCCGGTGACACAATTTTATTTTTCAGTTCCGGTATTCTACTGAATTTAACTCATAAAAATGAAACCATAAAGAAGATGACATATAATCATCAATTTAGGTAAAATCTTAGTAATAAATCTTATCCTATATTTTAAATTTCTTAATTATAATAACATACTATGATACACAAGACACAAATAAACGTCACAATGTAACTTTACATGCACTTCTATTCAAAAATCAGACAACCCTGACAAGGTTCAGTACTAAGTCAAGGTTGTTTAAATTTGCATAGGATTTTCTAACTACAAAAGCATCATCAATAGAATTAAACTGAACTATAAAGTGATGAGAGTTTATAATTTTGCCAGTTGTGAATATACTGTAAAATGACTAATTTTCACTGGGTTTAAATTTCGCTGATTTACCATTTCAGGCATATTCAATGGGTATTAAATTCACGGTTTTAACATTTAGATAATGTGTTTTATGCTCAAATTGACATATTCACTGGGTTTTAATTTAGCGCATTTTCCATTCAGCGAAATAAGCAAAATTAAAAACCTTTGAATAATTAAGTCTTTTACAGTATTGTATGACCTCAAGGTCGAGAAAAAATGTTGTGCAAATCACAGCTTTTTCTCACTTTTTTTTCGTCAGAAAGATTTTAGTTTTCATAAAAATCAAACTAAAAGCACAAATTTAATGTAAATCTTAGAATAAAAACAAAAAGTTCCCACATGCACCGATATTGGAAAACAATTTTTTTTCCCGGGACACCATTGTGGGGTTACTGAATGAATAATGTCAGAGATTTATGAACAGACTGCCAAGAAGGCAAGAAGAGATAGTGGTTAAGTGCTGAAAAAACACCCACATACACAATGCATGCAATTAAATCTTCTTAGAAACTTACATACAACATTTTTTGTGTGGAAACATAACCCAGTTCATCAGTGACTTAATTTGCATATAACTTTTGACCCACCTTCAATTCTGGCGCCTGTGGTGCGACATTCCCTTGCATCATCAACTTCAAACACTTTGTAATTAATTCTTTTTCTTTACTTTCATTCTCATCAGTCTTTTCACTGCCATCATTAACTTTTTCATCAGGAGTTGGGGGTTCAAATGTTCGGTTGTCAGGTGTTACCGGGGTCTCAAGTTCATCTCCATTATTCGGAAGTGCATTTAGACATGGAAGATTTTTACTTTCTTGTTGTAACTTATCTTTCAGTAGAAGTAAATGACGTGCCTTTTCAACCTAACAAATGTATATTTAAATAATTATGAATATTTACATTAAGTACAATAAAATAATTTCAAAAACAACTCACCTGACATTAAAATAATCTGCCCAACAGTTTTAGAGAATAAGATAAATTTGGTAAAATGTAAACAACAAAACAAAAGGCAAATTAGTTGCTATCAATCAAGATCATGTTCATATTGAAATTGTGGTTCTCTTGTGATTGAGGCATGAGTTAAGTATTTAATGCATGTTTTATTGTATTGGTCATTTATAACTAGTACTGTACGAGCTCTATTAGAAGCACATTTCCAATAGAAGCACATATAAACCAATGTTGTATATAGAATCATAAAAACATCTGTGTAATTTACTAAGTGCATATGCTTTAACAGAGTAAATATGGCATATTTAATTTAGAGAATCATGCTGTAGGACACTTTCTAAATATAAAACTGTATGCTTTTACAAAAATTATACAAAAATTATAATCCAAGATGTATTCTCATAGAACTTGTGATTATCTAAACAACTTTTCATGATCACATAGGCTTGTCAACTCCCAGAGAAGTCCTGGGAGCAAGCACAAAGTTACTGCTTGTGATAACTTGTACTAAGTACTAATATTCCTACTAAAACATTGCATGGTTTAACCATGGATGTGGCACAACAGACAAGCCACTAAGTAATTGTTCTTCTGAGATGTTCAGATTTGAGGTTCAACTGTAAATTGCTACTTATTTCCAGGCTCTACTTACTGTAATTCTTTAGAACATGACAAACATGACATACCTCTTCCAGTCTTGTCAGCTTTTCCAGTTCCCATTGATGTTCTAGAATTAACGAATCACCACGTGGTCTCCAACCCTGTAAGTTCTCCTCACCACGTACGTAGGTACCTGACGTATCAACCACCTTGCGTAATCTTCTTGCAGTCCCTGATACAACAATATCAGATATGAGTAACCTCTATACCTACCTTACTATAAAGTGAATATTACAGTAGGATAGATAGATAGCATTCACCTAAATTTTATTAAAGTTTCTCAATGAATTTAGCCACTCTGAGAAACATTCCTCTTTAAATGCATACATACATCAGGCCCAAACAAATGGATGTTTTTTTTTATTCTGATTTTGTCATTAAATTGATGATTTTTTCCCAAAACTGAATTTTCGAAAACTGACATGCATGTTCACAAGAAATATTTATTTGGGGATGGGGCCATACGTATTCAAATTCACCTGATTCGTTTTTTAGTGCTAAATTTGCTTAGAAGATTTCTGAAGAAAGGAACTACATTTCTACTATTTTATATAGACATAGATTGTAACAATGTAACATGCATTCATCAAATGTTATCTACACTGTGAGTCATGCATCTATAATTACCTAAAACTACCAAGATATACTAATGAGCTGTATTGAAGTATATTGACGTCAGTTTTCTTATACACAATACTTTGACTGTCAATCTAAAACTCCCTGGGATACAAGAAAGCTGTGCCACTATAGCATTCAAATGCTAACATTTAGATTCATTCTGTATGGGTTAACAAAAATTATGCTACTAGTTATCGTAGCCTACCAATATTGTATCACAATAGTTGCTACTAGTCATTCTAACCTACTAATATTGTATTACAATAGTTGCTACTAGTTATTCTAACCTACTAATATTGTATCACAATAGTTGCTACGAGTCATTCTAATCTACTAATATTGTATTACAATAGTTGCTACTAGTTATCCTAACCTACCAATATTGTATCACAATAATTGCTACTAGTCATTCTAACCTACCAATATTTATCACAATAGTTGCTACTAGTCATTCTAACATACTAATATTGTATTACAATAGTTGCTACTAGTTATTCTAACCTACCAATAGTGTATCACAATGGTTGGCACTAGTTATCCCAGCCTACAAATACTGTATTTAACTGGTTGCTACTAGTCATTCTAACCTACTAATACTGTATCACAATAGTTGCTACTAGTCATTCTAACCTACAAATACTGTATTACAATGGTTGCTACTAGTTATCCTAAGCTACTAATATTGTATTACAATGGTTGCTACTAGTTATCCTAAGCTACTAATATTGTATTACAATAGTTGCTACCAATTATTCTAACCTACTAATATTGTATTACAATAGTTGCTACTAGTTATCCTAACCTACTAATATTGTATCACAATGGTTGTTACTAGTTATTATAACCAACCAATGTTGTATCATGATTATTCTACTAATTATTCAAACTGACCAAAACTGCATCACAATGATTGCTTGTAGTTATTCTAACCTACCACTATTATATCACAGTGGATGCTAGTAATTACACTAACCAACTAATGCTGTATCACAATGATTTCTACTAGTTATCTTAAGCAACCAATGTTGTATATCAGAATAGTTGTTACTAGTTATCCTAAGCTACCAATATTGCAATTATTTTATACTGGTTGTTTAAACTGACCAAAACTGCATCACATTGGTTGCTACTAGTTACCATACAATGATAATGCTGAACCATGATAGTTGTTGGTCAGTCTATGATATTTGCTAGTTATATGATAGACGCTAGTTATATGCTAGTTATAACTTATGATAGTTTCCAGTTATCATATGACAGTTAGTAGTTTTTATTTGATAGTTATCCTATATTGCAAAGTAAAATTAACTTTATCCAAGTGGCTCCCGGTTTTGTGTTATTGTTCACACCTATAATTTCATTGTATTAGTTATGCAAAGCTGGTAACACTGTTTCACAATGTTGGTTACTTGTTACCCTGAGCTTGCAATACTGTAGTTATTATTTGGTTACATCATTATTGAAAACTTTTTAACATTATATCCCAAGATGATATCATACCAATGCTTGTTGCTAGTTACCCTGAGTTGGACACAATGTGCAAGGGTTCAAAGCTAGTTATCTTGTGCTTATAACATAATTGTTATTGCTAGTTATATTTTGACAACACTCTACACAAAGCTGGTTGCTAGTCACCCTAAAATTACAACACTGGTCGCTAGACACCTGAAACTGAAAACACTATATCACAATGCTGGTTGCTATTTACCCTGAAATGGCAACACTATACAACAATGTTATAGTTGTGTTGTCAAATACTTTATCTGGAGTGATGAAAATGACAAATTGTATGTTTATGAGTAAAAACAGACTTACACATATTTAAAAGTTAATTACAAATACCAGGAATTTATTAGTTATAGAAGGCCTCACAGACATACACCATATACATTGTATGGTTATTCCAAAGTGTTTTATTGATAAATTTACACAATTTAATACAAGACATAAGAATCAGAGACACAGCATATACAAGTAGACATTATTTAATGTATGCCCAAGGTTAAAGGTTAGTTATATAGGCATGCAATAAAACAAATTGAACCAAGATGGTCTAATATACATGAAAGAGAAGTGTATGCCTAGTATCCAATGAAGGTTTAAGGTCAAAGGTCAACATGTGCCTATGTGCGTCACAACTGTACACAACTACATAGCAGGACTAAAGCCAAATCATGCAAGGGATGGTAGACCATCTAGAGTTGAACTAAAATGTAACATTGCCTTACCGCTGCTTTTAGATGGTGAGTTGCTTGCTGGATTGGAAGATTCCAGCATTTCCCGAATGTCATAATAGCTATGAGACCTGCCTATGTAATATTAATCAAAGCCAATCCCAGCAGCGAGCAAAAAAAGGAAAAGTTGGATGTGGAAAATAAGTATAAAACGGCAAAGAAACTAACACCAAAGAAATAAAGAAAGTTAGCATAAACCCTTTGTTCTTGGCAAGCTGATTATGGTGAGACCATAATGCACTAAAGTATATTTAAATATAATAGCAATAAAAGAACATGCAACTGGTGATACATGTGACTTACATAATCATGATAATAATAATCATAATAAAAAAAACATAAATATATTAACTATGAACAAACATGGTGATACACTGCAAGACAAACAAAAGATATCCAAAATCCAGGATAAACCATATGACAGACAAGATGACAAATCCTAGACAAAGTGCGAAGAACCAAGAGGGTGACAGA